TGAAAATAGTATATATATATTTTATCAGGTTTTTTTCATTTTAAATTATATACTGACAACAACTGTATCATAAGAAAAGTTGACTTCTAGAAATCCTAGTTTTCGTACAAGCATACGAACACCATAAATCTTTAAGAAAAACAATGTTCAAAAAAAATATTTGGTGCTTCGCTGGTACGTCGCACGGCGAAAACATTACTGTGTGCTACAAAACGTCATCTAGAAACATATATCAATAAAATTTAACTAAATAGTAACTAGATAGTAACTGTGACGGCCTCCACAGTGCTAACCCCGATGTGATTGGAAGCAGCCTTCAAGAAGCAAATCAGCAGCAGCACCATTGCCACCATCGTGTACACTCCGACAGTGATGAACAGTAATCAAGTCTCAGCCAGGCAGCAACCTCGGCCTCAACAGGGATCCTCGCTCCTGCCTGGTTACCCCTATGGCCTCATCAGCGTCTAGGCACAGCACATTGCACCTACGGTCCACGAAAGAGGAGCATATCTCTCCTGTCTACGCAGCAGCCGACCACTACGCAGCAACCGCCCCAATTCACTGGGGACTTCACCGCAGCACCGGGCACCGGATGCAAACCCGACTTACTGGGATCAGCGGACTTCAGTTCCGACTCACTGGGACTATCAGCACTGAGTTCCGACTCACTAGACAGCTTACTACTGGCACCGATAAGCTCCACAACGAAGCATAGACAGCTGACTCATCATATGTCAATCTCCGGTCTTGACTGGGAGCTATGTGACGACTTCCACAGCGAAACGAAGAAACATACTAAAGCGCCATCTAACGAAGACACACCGAACTATGGAGTAACTCCTAATCCTGAATCGCGATATGAGACTTCGCACGCCGATTAGCAGATATACAACTTCCCAGTATCTACCGTTGGACCGCGGTCCGCCAGGCATGATCACCTCGCCTGGTCGGAGGATCCTCCCTTTGTGTTGGAGGGAAATGACACCCGTTCTTCCACAGTAACATATTGCCACAAAGAAAATCACGCGCATTTCAGAATACTCATAAGATCGAAAATAGATTGTCACTCGATTATTTTGTTTTCATTCGAAACGAATTTGTATTTCTCAGAAGCGGACGGTGCTCGTAGGGATTGGGATTTGCTGGGAGAATGATTTTACGATTATTATAAATACGGACACGTCTTCTTTGGAGTTAGTTCATCGAAGCGATTGAAGTGAATAGATGTGTGACCCAGTAACCTCGGCGATCATTCCGAACCATTCTTTAATATTGTGTGAACGTTTTTAAGTGTAGTGAGAATAAAGTCTCTTTAGTCATCAGAAGGCTTTTTATTCCAAATCAATGAACCTTTATACGTAACAATATTATACAGGGTTACTGGTTAAGTCGACCTAGACACTTTAAGGATATATAGTTGTCATCATTTCTGCTAGATTTCAATGAAACACCATATCCCAAACCTAACCATTTTTAAATTGCCTTTATTTCGCCTAAAAATTATTTTTTAAACTTATATCCTTAATATTTTTCTTTTTATTCTCTTCTTGAAAATGGTTAGGTTAGGGACATGGTATTTCGTAGTGAAATCTATCAGAATTGATGACTACTACAATCTCTTAAAGTATCTAGGTCGACCTACCATGTAACCCTTTTCTTTTTTTTTTCTCCGTGCGGAAATCGCCTCGGATACCACCTATCGGTGGCATGTCGGACTCGAACCGACTAAAACCGCACGCCGTCTCGAGTACTAATAGCCGGGGAATCAGGTATACCCTAGAAAGGAAGTCCCTGGTGGGTGTATATCGGCCTTTAATTCAGAGGTTGTTATAACTAAAAATTGAACTATGTTGACTGTATACTACAATTCGCAAGAATCAAAGGTACCAGAACAGAAATGGATAATATGAATTAGTAGGCTTATATTTTTGAACCACATTAATATTACTCTTCTAATTACAAACATATTTTATTAAGGACTACAGAGTTATTCACTAGAAACTAAAAAAATATCGACTTACGCTTTTTAAGTTTAATGTCCCATCATATCAATGGGACTGGCCTATTAGACTAGTGGTTAGCGATTCTGAATACTAAGTACAGAGGTCTGGAGTTGTATTATCACCCAGGATAAATAAATTGTTTAATGAGTACGAATACGGAGTCACCACCCCTATTCATCTCATGGGCGTCGTAAGAGCCGACTAAGAGAGCAAACTACACAGGACAACAACACTGTAAAGAGTGCCCGTCTGGGAAGCGTGGTATAGTAGACCAAAACCTCCTTACGGCCTATGGGCCACATGGAGCCCATTGGCCAAAGGCTCAACAGCCTTTAATAGTCCACTGCTGGACTATTAAAGGCTGTTAGTTTGTTGAATAAACTTTATATTCCTTATTAACGCTATACCTAAACATAATAAACATAAACATTATTCAATGACTAATTAATATAAAATTACCGAAACAACAAAATTATCTCCAAAACAAACACGAAATTTGTTTTGGAGATAAAACGTAACAGATTAACAGCTCTCAAAGTTCCCTCGGGTGGGTGTAAACTTTTTCATTACAAGTCTTGGTGCAAGATGACGCCAAATCCGCTTCTGTATTTAGAAGTTAGTCGCACTGAACTAAAACTTAGTTTGTTCGGACTTGTCTTGTTTCAAATGACATAAAACTGTACTTTTGTGCTCAGATCTTATTGTAATTTCATTTACATTTATTGTTACCAGTTGTAGGATGTGTTTTTTTGTGTTGTGTTGACCGCAAGTCAATCACATTGTGTTGTGATCATATGATTCGTTGTTGTTTAAAAAGACATTAAAATTTCAGGAAGGATATTATAGAAGAATATGGAACGAAAATCGGAATACCCGGCCCTCACAGAAAACCGGTTTTAAGTAATTTTTGGTTAATTTACACTGAGTGAGTGAGGTGGGAACTGTTTTTTTTTAAGTTGCATGAGTTTCAGTTATAGTCAGATGACCCATCCGATCGTTTGCCTCATACACTACAAAAAACATGAAAACATTATAGTAATGTATATTATAACTATTACATTAGAAACTGAGATTACATTAGAATTATATTAGAACTCCTGATTTTAATTTTTGTTTTATAATATTCATAAGTACGAGTATGTTACTATAAAAGCAATGAATATACTACAAAAAAACTTACAAATTAGACTTTTAGAAGTCAGAAAAAAGATTTCTAATGACTAATGATATAAGTACACTCACGAATATAGTATCCGCAACTGTTTCTAAAACCAAAAGGAGCTTTTTACAAAAAGGGCGGAACGGCCTATAGCGCCCGTGTCAAGTGCAAAACCTGGCGGCCATCTTTTTTGCACTACTTTGATAGAGGCACCGGCTTATGTTCGTTTTTATATGGCTGTATTTACTTAACATGGTGTATACCATAAGTACCAATAATAAGACTATAAAGTATACTCATGAAATAATTATCATTATAATAGTAATAAATAAAGCGTTAAAAAAATAAGAAGAAACAAATATTGTTGAATCTTTAACTGGTGATGGGTTTTAACAATATTTGCTTGAATTTTAATGAACTATAAAAAATACTTAATTTGCACCAACGACGACGTAACTAACAAAACAGAGGGATAGATGATCAAAATATTTAATTATACTGCTGTAGTAAGTGGGTAGTATTAGCAAAATAATGTTACCACACTTTTAACGTTAAGCCATTCTTTTTTTTTTCGCTAGAGGACATTCATATTTACATGGGAAATTTCAGATGGTGCTCAGCGATTTTCCAACACTACACAGTTGTCATTGACATTTTACCTTAGAATTTGGACTTATCTATCAAAACAATCAAAGCACATGCGTCATAATAACTCAAAAGCACGCTGTCATTAATGAATCAACTTTCGACACATTCGCTACATCGAAATGGGTCGAGAAAAACGTCGAAATACAAAGATCTCTAGAAAAAACAAGCTTTATTTAGCTGAGAACTTCTATTTAAATGAGATATAAATACTTCCCTATTCGAGGCACTAGACATTTTAGAATACTACTATTTATTTTCTACTACAACCATTAAATTATTCATATATAATGGGCTGATCAGAGTTCTTCGGGACTAAACTATCTGAACGTAACGTAACTAAAGTACACCAAATTGCCTTGATCTTAACAATTAGATAAAATTGGGATTTTAAGACTTTAACCGTCTCAGAGCGACGCGGTTTTAAAGCTAGAATTTTAAAAACGAAAAAAAAACTGTGCACCAATAAATGATGCCCGTAACTTTGACTCCACATAATATTTTACCCAATATTTCTCATCTATTTAAATTAGTTTTTGAGTAAAAAAATATATTATATTCTCCTCCAAGGCCTGCTCCATCTGCGTACTTCAATTCATAAAATTTAGTTAAATAATTGTGACATGAAATTGTAACACACAGGCAAACATAACTTTTGCCGAATTTATAAGTACAAAATTATTTGTAAATTTAGGATGTCGTCAAAACAGCTCTAATGGTTTAGATAAAATTTTGTTTACAGACAAGATTTTTTTAGATTTAAAATTTAACGCAGATGAACCTATAGAGCAGTTAGATATGTACTAAATAAATAAAATGTAATTATTTTTTTACTTAAACAAATTTCATAGGACTCTAGATTAAATCTAAATTAGAATGGGTTTAACCAAAATATTGTTGTCTTCTGTAGTATATACATTTCTAATTTACACAATGCCAAACTAGTTCAGGTTAAATACTAACATCCCTTGAGTGTTATGCATTTCCTATCTTCTCAATAGTTATAATCTATTCAAAACTTTCCCATGTTCTGTGTGTGAATCGTTATCGTATCAAATATATACAGCTATTCAATTACATCTTGTTATAAATACAAAGAGTAACCAGGTGATGCAATATTAGAGATAAATCTTTCTACTGGGATAGTCGTCATGCTGGACGAAGTTTTTATTATTCTGTTAGTGATATCGAACATGTACGAAGTAATAACTAAGAAACACCCCACTAGAAAATCCAAAATTGTATCTGAAAGTAACATACATTTAAGACCAGAAGATGTAAGTAGGATCAAAGCTTTCCTGCAAAGTATAGACCGTTACGATGACGATTCCACACGGATGAAAGACCCAAGTCGGTATTGTCGGTCATTTCACAACTGCCATGAATGTGTCAAAAGTATGTGGTTTCCCTGTGGTTGGTGCCATGAGACTGGATGTACAGAGAATACTGAGAAAAAATGTCCTTCAAATATAAAAGACATCAAAAGATCTAATACAACTGAAGAAAAAAATACTTGTCCGCAATTAGTACATAATGGACCTCTTTTAGTCCCTGCTGGCGTTCGTAAGAATGTTGAGGTAAAAATTTATGTCCCAGATCCTATACTTTATGAAAAAGAAATTGTGTGTCTTATCAAATTGAAGCAAAAAATAACTCACCTTAAAGGATTAATCGTGGGTGATCAAGTATATTGCTTTGATATAATGTTACGAGTTGACCATTTAGAATTTGGTGATACTGAAACTGGCACTCTCAAAGTTATTTGGGGTGGTGCACAGCCGTATTCAAATGAAATCCCACTAATTGTGTATACATGCGAAACATTAGCTGTAGACTGTGACTCTTGTCGAGGAATTCCAGCCACATATGGATGTGGCTGGTGTGACGCTACTAAAACTTGTACCATAGCCGACAAATGTGGGTCCGAATTAATGAAATGGACTCTAAATAGACTGACTTGTGAACCTTACGGTAAGAAATTGTATTATATCTAACTCTGTAGATATCTGGGTTACTTATGGGTTCTATTCAAATGTTTTTGTCTATGTAGTCTTAAATTATTTGTGTTTACTTTTATGAATACAGTATTTTCATGTCTCTGACCACGTACTATTATTCATTGTTGCAAACAGTGTTTTTATTTAGGATTCAAATCTTGACTATTCTTAATCACCTTATTTACAAACACGAACCACTAGAAGTAATAAATAGGCTTGGCAATAATATTTAGTATTTATTTGTTACCTGGCATGCCTTAGAACAGTCTGCACTTTGTGTTACGTTTGTGGAGTTAATTTTGTACTGTAAGTATTGGTTTTTAATACCTCAATGTACCGTTTTAAATTAAGTTATTCTATCATTAATATTTTACTTTTATTTTGTTTGCCTTTCAGGAAAACCATTTTTAACTATATCGAAGTGAATAGCCATAGACATTCGAAAATGCCATATTTTTTTGAATCTTTTTTTTTTATATTGATCTGTATACAACTGTCCAATCAATTAAAGACAGATGTAGCAAGTTTAGATCCAATAGAAAGTTATTGTGCTTCGTTTAGTAGTTGTCAGGAATGTAAGGCAGGTGACGCACAATGTGATTGGTGCCACGAAGTAGGTTGTACGCATTATCCAAATCTACATTGCCCTCAAAAAAATTATCTAGATAAAACCTACTATAAAGACAATAAAGAAAGATTTTGTAACGAAATTGTATCCGATAATCCGATATTTATACCCGCCAATCTGAGAAGATTTATCAAAATGAGTTTGAAAATAGATGACTTGACAATATATAAACGGAGTATAGTATGCGAAATACACGTAGAAGAAACAATAATAAGAGTTAAATCTACGATAAGCAACGGCGTCTTATATTGCGATATGACTATTTTACGAATTAACCGGAGTGTGTCTTTGGGATACATAAGATTACTTTGGGGAGGTGCTGATCCGTACTCAAATTTAATTTTAATCATAGTATACAGATGTGAATACATGGCCAGTGATTGTGTAGATTGTCAAGTCTTGGATAGGGGATTCAATTGCGGATGGTGTCAAGAAGCATCTGTATGCAGTTTACTTGAGGAATGTCCGAGACAATATGGGCCGTGGATAAATAAAAAAAGTTCATGTGGCAAATATCATATTCATGTGTCTCAATATAAAAACAAGGATATAAGAACACAATTACGGGATGTGCAAATATTATAACTTACTAACGCTTTTAAGTAAAACGTGTAAAGACTATTGTTTAACTTATTTTATCCAAATTACATTTAAATTTTAAACAAGCAAGCGTGGTTTTTTAATATTATTTATAACTGCTTTTATACTGAACGGCTTTCATCACAAAATCCATATATTCTAACTACATGACGTAAATACATTTTGCTTCTAGTATCCAAAGTAATGCCAATCCACAAAACTGTAACTCGACTTACAGTATTTTGCATTAACAATGCTCAATCATTTTCTTAAGGTCGGTATAGTACCTCTGATCAACAATTTTGTTATTCTAAAGTTAGTTTGTTATTCTAAAGAAGCAATAATCAAAAAAATTCTGTACTGTATTGAAATTAGGGATTAAACATGTTAAAAAACTGTAACAATTAAAATTGTGAATTGATAAAAGAAAGTACTCGGCTATGTAGTAGGCATATACAACTAACAAATACACATAAAAAATAAAAAAACCAAATGTATAATATTGGATTGGCACGGCAGAGTAGCCATCATCTTATAAGAACCATCATTTATTTCTGACATTATTGTGCATGTAGCATGTAGTTAAAAATTTCAGTTCTTATCAAACAGTGGCAACAAAACTCTTTGGCCGATATATTCGTCTATATTTACCCTTAAGCTATTATTTTGTTTCTTAAATAACACAACATCTAAAGGATCAATAAATAACACCATGGGGTATTTACTCAACTGACCTTCAACTTATACCCTTTCGCCATAAAATTCCAATACGAACAACATTAATTCTTCCACAAATGCAATAATTCTTCTGGAACTTTCTAATTTATACAATCCCATCGTAAATCTAGTCGAGCTTTGTCTGGAAATTTTAAAATATTGTCTTTAGTGCCGCCCGGAGTATACTTTCAAGAAAGTTATCGATTGAATTCTAAGGGATTAAATTTCGTTTAAAGTTTTCGTGTAGATTCCATTAGTTTAAAATAAACGGTGCAATTGTTTACATTTTAAATAAAAATCTAGAGGTTTGAGGTTAGAAAAGAAATACGGGATGAAACCGTTACAGCTAATGAGTCGAATAACTCTTGATTTCTGCTTTCTTCTTTTCTTTGTTTCAATCGCTTTAGTAACATTTTTTTATGATATAAAGACAAACGACCAGACGTTTTACTATTTGAAAATTGAATCCCACCGCCCATTACCTTTTGCCATTATTATTTAAATAAATAAAATGGCTGCTCGTCGCACAGATACAGTTATTAATATCCTTATTATCGAGAATAATTTAATACATATTGCTTATTTTTACTTCTTCAATACAGCTTATTTCTTTATTCTCCTACAGCTCTGTGTATTAGTGTACAAAGTATGTGCGCCCTGTAATAAGCGTGGCTGAAATTATTAATGTGTCATATCTCTATATACAGTATATAGTCTATCAGGTTGGCTATTCTTACTATAAATTATTAAACTGACCTAAGTGGCTAAGCCAACAACTCATCATTATAGATTAAGAAGCTTATCAGGAGATTACACGAAATGGATTACGACTTTCGCCAGCGGCTCTGCTTGCGTAATGTAAATTCTGCCAATTAATTCACTGCCCTTCGGGAGTTGTACGCTTTTTCCGACACCCTGTGTAGCTTTTTGGTTTCTTTTTTTAAATATTACTGGTGTAAAGATTTGACGACGTAACGTGGGTTGCACCCTACAAGTATTCTTGTCAACATCTAACCATATGTGATAAAATAGGCAAAAAGAAATTTATGGTGATGGGTTAAGTAGTGATTTTATAATGATTCGAGTGAAAAATTAATAAACAAACAAACTTACATTCGTATTTATTACATTAGTAAGTCAATTATGACATATACAAGTCAACTAAATACATATTTTGTATATTTGGCAGTTTTTGTTATTCCAAAATATTCAAATCACAACAATTAAACTCAAAGATGTTGGTTAGTGTAAATTCATAAAAGTTTTTGAGAATTATCTCTATACTTCGATTGCAATCTCTATAAGGAGATAGGATAAAATTATATTTAATGCCTTTATTTAATCGGGATTTATCGTGTTGCTAAATTTAAAAATATTCTCTAAATATTGCAAAAAACTGAATTTGACAGCGAAAACGACCGCACTATAAATGCTACTGATAAAATACCGATATGGTGTAAGCAGAGGCACGTTTACACCCACTATAATTAATACCCATTTACGTAATGGCAGAATCAGGAATGTATTTAAAAGTACACTTTTATGGGTTTTAAATGAAAGAAGAAACCAAAGGAAGTGAAGGGCTATTCTTTTTATAATTGGGGATTATAAGCAACAGCTTAAAGAGATCAGAGTCATTGCCCCGACCAGTTACCGGGAAATTAGAGCCAACTAACTATGATCATGAAAGATTTTATCCGATAGATACATGATCTAATAAGTGCTGGTCAATATCATTAATGTATACATTAATAGGTATCAGCTCTTATAAATTTCATGTATAACCCGAAATATAGCTCACCTTTTGAATAAATCATTTCAGTTCTCATAGCGTCATCATGGGGCAAACCACGTCGAAGATTAGTTATAAAAAATAGGAGGCACGACGGGAACGATCAAAATTCTCATTTTGACTTAAATTTTAATATACCGCATTTCTCAAATTACTGAGACTGATATATTAAAACTCAGAAAATACAACAACAAATGAAATACCTTCAAAATTAAAATAATGATAGTTTTAGCATCGATAACCACATAAATGTATTCACTTCATTATTACTCTCCTATGTTACAGATTTGTAGAAAAAATAAAGTTTATTAACAAGTTTAGATACATTTTGTTTTCCTTTGCTTTTTTTCTAATCTAACCTGGTCACTTGGCACTATTCTGACTTTTATGTAAACGAGATTTAACTGAAATATTATGAGTGTTAAGACTATTTTACTACATTAAAAACTAAAAAATCGTTACCCTTTGAGATAACGTAATAATTCTAGCCATCGGCTGGGTGCTTGGAGCCTGTGCGCATCTGATCGAAACTGATCAGACCATCAGCATCCAGCCGATAGTCTGATCAGGTCTCAATTCCGACAGGACTCCCAGTACCTGCTCCTGTCAGAAAAGCCGAAGATCAGTTACCAGATCAGAAGACAGTTTGGAAACAGCTGGAAGCTAAGCTCACCAACGCAGTTCAAAAAGGAAAGGACGTTCAATAATGAAGAAGATGACAAAGTAGTTAAATGAATGGCAGGCAATGCGCTTGCAACTCCCGATTTGCAGACGTCCATTGTCGGAGGTAGCCATTTTACATCAGGTGACCTATCTCCTCGTTTGCTCCCTGTATCATAAAAAAACAAAATCAATTTTTGTTTAAATCGTTTGTTAACAACACGTCATTTGACAAACTGACAGGTTCATAGCTGTATAAACAGTCATCTGTTTATCGGTTAATGACGTAATGAGTTGGTATATGCAGTTACGATTAACTCTTTTTTATCGTTCAAATTTAATTTCTTCTAGCTTTTTGAACTTTAAAAAAATTGTAACATAAAAACTTTAATGCAATAATACTTACTAAATACTAAAGTAATAATACTTACTGTGGTTTAATAACCAATAGTTTAATGCATAGAATAATACTGAGGTTTAATTAAATTAGCATTTTTCTACTCTTTTTTCTGTTAAGTTTTTTTTTGAATATTATTTTGTTGCGTTAAATAAGGCCTTATCTAAAAAGTTATAAAAAATAATAAAGAATGTCTTCTTGTGAAGTAATTTATTTTTATTTATTTTTAATATTTATTTATTTATTATTAAAGTGAATTTATAATCATTCAGATGATTACAATCTCAATCAATCGAAAAGTCTTTTAAAAATTTATGTCTGTAAAGAATTGTTAGCCATATTGTTCTTCAGGAGATGTAGTCTTAAAAAAGCGTTTTTATTTTTAAAACTCGTTATATGAATTAGCTTATTTTTGACAAATCTGATTAATTAGAATAAATAAGTAATAAGTTCGTTTAATAATACAAGTAGCCAATGAGCTTTCAGGGTGCCATTTAAATAGAATTTACTAAACTGATAACCTAGATAGGAGGAAATGTTTGAAAGTTATCTAGAAACATCGAATATATAGAGGAAGACATTTCAGCAAAGATGTTCTGTAGCGTGACGTGATCAGTTCTACAGAAATCCTGGCACAATTCTTCTCATTACTTCTTTTTAAAAAATAACTCTTGCACTAGGAATATAGCAGCAAAGTCCCCCGCGACAGGTGTCATGAGGGACTTTACAAACATACATGAAACGGACACAAAGAAAATCCAGACAGAGTAACAATTTGTGGATTACACCCAGTGTTGTCCCATGTGGGGATCGCACCCACAACACTAACCGCTTAAACCACTACAGTCAAATTAAAAGTTTTCTCACTTCAAAAGTAATGTCTAATTTTTAGTTAAAACACGTAGTTTTTATGAACTCACTCTCATGTTGAAGTCCAATAAAACGTTCTTTGACAAACACCTGGGCCTCAAGTCTGCTATTTTATGTTAACGTACAAGCCACTGTCATTTTATTGACAATCCATTGAGATGCCATTGACATCAGTTAAAATATCGGTATTCTACTAACATAAATTCACAGTGTCAATAGACTGTCAATGCAGTAACAAAAGCTCGTTAATGGTTATTTATATCAACAACATTGCACTATCTGGCAAATTAAGTATATCACTTCCTTGCAAACTTAAAATGTACCGTTTACCACACTATTTAAAAGACATCGACATCGACATTCGTATTACTAGCAGTTCAGTGACAAGTCATGGGGAGCGCCATTGGTATTACATAGTCAGTAGAATACAAAAAGTGCAAAACTATTGCGGCGGCAATCCATCGACAGTCTATTGATACTATATTTAAATAGCAGAATGTGGGCCATGGTCTTGCATGAATATACTGCACGGATGACGTAGTGGTTTAAGCAGTTGCCACATCCCTTCCTACTGCGCTGCGTGCTGTGGGTTTATAATTTCCTTATAAAGCGCTGAAGTTCTCTGGTATTCGTTACCAGTGTTACAACAACTATAAAACTATCTCCCATAATAATTAAACTATGTATGTTTTTAGATAATTTTTTTTACCTAAAACTATCATTATTTCATTTGCGAACTTTTACTTTAAACTATGTATATACTGCGTGCATTAATTACTGAAATTAACTTATTTATAAAAATATCTGCTTTAGCATTCAGAAATAAGAACACCATGTGTAACAAATAAACCCAAAGGTATCCTATATTAAACCTTTTAGCATAATGAGAACATAACAAGAATATTCGTAGGCCCAACACTTTTCTATCTGGTCGAAACAAAATCTAGTAAAGCAGGAAAATTGAACAGATGCTACAGATTCGAGTGCCTTCACCAGGTTACATTATATTGGGAAAAGAAAAGAGGACACCGTTAAAGTAATATGTGGATGCGGTTTAATACGACATTGCACTAAACAGTGTATTCTCACCAAATAGCTTCTTAGACGTGTTGCGGAATGAACTCGAATCTGAACTTAAACTGATTTTTTTTAGGATATGAAGGTTTGTTATTTCTATAGATTAGAGTTATATTTTTTTGTTAAAAGATAACACCCACACTAGAACTCTACCCTGTGTCCCGGCGGACTTACCATATACATAAAACGGACTCTAAGACAACCCAAACTCAGAACAAGAATTTGTGGATCACATAAAGTGTCGTGCCATGTGGGGATCGAACCCACAACACCACTACCTACTACTACCCTACGCCACTCGTGCAGTCATGTAGCATATGCTGAAGACTAAATGTGTATATATTAGAATAATGAGTCTGACGGTTAGGCCTTTCCTGCAATAGGCAACTCATGTTAAAGGTATGCGACAGTGCTCGAGCTAATACTTGAAGCCCTCATCCACCCGTATAAGCAATATCCATTTCAAAAGATTGCCTTCCCTTCTAATCATGAGAAAGGGAAGGTTATTCATCAGAAAACTTTCTTTTCTGATAATTATCCTTTCAAGGTTTTTTACGTGGGAGAGCCATGTTTCGTCACATTTGGGCCAGGCTCGACAGAAGTTCTTTCGTTGCTTTTCACCGAGTGAGTGAGTTTACCGGAGCCCAAACCCTCCCATACCTCTGATTTTGGGGGAGGGACTGAAAGCGCGGCAACTCGGCAACGTACTTATGCGTCTTGAGCTGCAGGTGTACATGGGTGCAGTAGTCACTTACAATTAAAAAGAAACCGTGGCAATCTGGGAGTGCCGACAGAAGTGTCAACTTTAAAGTGTTGATTATAACAGGATTTTTTTGTTTTTACGATTCGAAAAGTTCCAACATGAATATATATCTATGTTGTACGTATATACACAATATATATGTGTATGCATATTATATATATAGTTATACTATTATCAATGTATTTCATTCCCAACTCAACTCTCGTGTAAACGGGGCCAATATATGTAATTACAGAGGTGTCGGTAACGGTAACAGTGTCTTGAGTTCAATGATTTTTTCCCATCTTAAAACATGCATTCTTTTGTTTGTTGTTTAAAAAAAAAGGAAGTAAGTCCCAAAAGTACTCGATTAACCACTATGACGTAAGTGGAACTAATACATAGCAAAATGTGAGCATATCATTGTACATACTGGTCTTATTGGCGGTATAAAATCAACCTTATATAGGTAAATATACAATAAAATGTAGTTTAAACATCTACTGTTACTTTTAAACAATAAGAAAAACATCGTTGTTTGTGCTGCAAAAATATATAACTGTAACTTTGATAAAATGTTTAAATAAATAATTATTTCGATTTGTATGCAGGGAGTCAACATAGCAATATTGAAATAACTCGTAAATAAAGTGGCAGCTTTTACTTTGACATTATTCAATCATTGTATAATGTGTGCTTAAAAGTCGAGTCTGACTTCGGACGCGGTGTATGGACGTTCGCCTAAATGATAGCTGGTACCTAAAAAAAATTATGATACAGGGAGGCAAATACCTGCAACTCAAAGGTCATAGACTGAGTTGCTTCTCTTAAAGTCACCCCCTTTAATACTCGTATAAGCTGTTCCCGTATCGGTCCTAGAATAGAATAGAATATCTGCCTCGTTGGTTGGTAGTGTATGATCGGACCAAACGTTTTTATGATCTTCAAATATTTGTTTCAAAGTTTGGATGTTTTCTATGTATAATATGTATGTATTTACAAAAAAAAAGTATATAATTATTTTATCAGTCAATCTAACTTTCATGGCGTTTTGTGTCAGGTGTCCGAAAATATTAAAACATTAATGACGCACTAAAAAACGTGCTAGAATATAGCAGCATGGCACACTGTGTCCTTTCCCCACATTCATAATTTTCACCCCACCAAAAACTGCGGTTGGGAGACGGAGGGAGCCCCAACATGCAAAAAAAAAATGACATCCGACGCGGTAAAATGGGGACGTGTTGCAAACAGTCGTAGCTTACTAACTATGCCTCTAACTAAATGCCGAGCGCGACAGCTTGTATCACGACTTTTTTTTACTATTGCTGCTTTTTGAAAGTTATTTTCAAGCATTATGCTCATCTGTTGAATTGATCTGACCGTAAAATAAATAAAATTAAATGTGTGAGGCAAACAGGACTATTGGTATAATGAAGGAGGCTGACTATTTACATGATGGTACTTCTTATTATCTCCTTCGAGTCTTGAGGAATAATTACTTTTCCAGATTTAAGGTGACTTGTATGCTTTTGTGCCCCAGATAAATTGGCGCGAACGCGTAGCAAGCAAACAAACTAACTTGGGTCATAACCCCGACTGCTAAGCCAGAGATCGTAGGTTCGATTCCCACCCAGGACAAATAATATTATTATAATCGTGGTCTGGGTATAATTTATCTAAAATATGTATTTATTTAGAGATATTTAAGTTTGTATATTAGCAGTCTGGTCACCAATGCACAGGCTCTGTCTAGGTTGGGGTCGGCGATATCTGCAATTTTTATTACTATCCTTAAAAAATTAAAGAAAGTAAAAGTATATCAGACAAGAAATAACCAGATACAAGAATAAAAACGTGGTAAGCGGACAAACATATTGTTTATAATTAACAACTGACCGTGTTTGCTAGTCATCATCAACATCAACAGACTTCTGAACATAGGCCTCTCCTAAGAAAGA